GGGGGGGGTGTTATTGAGTCAGAGAGGCACCGATCAATCCGCTGGAGCTCTTTCGCCGTTTAAATGATTACGCTGATCGACTCGGTGCTGGTTCAGCAGTTTACTGCAGCTGGAAACCTAACAGCAGATTTAACACACCAGGCTGGTGGACAAGAACCCCATAAGGCTTAATTTCAACCTCATTATTCAGCCGTTTCTCCCACAGAGATTTAAAGATTACAAAAAAAACTGCAGGTTTGAAAAGTGATAAATGAAACTTCCGGTTTGCCTTTTTGAAGCAGTATGCTGGAAAGTGGATCCTGTTTACTTTGCTTTTACAATAGCAACAATTAAAAAGTTTAAAGTAAAATAATCTGCATTTGAAGGCATAAATATTCCGACCAGAAGCACAAAGTCCTGCAATATGCTTCTGGTTCAGATCCCGGCACTACTGGCAGACTCAATCTGGGAGAACTCTACTCAATCTCAATCTGCTGACTCAGGAACATCGGACACGCTGGACCGAGAGCCCCGATGACCTTTTCCACGGCTTATTTGATTTAGTCTCTGTTTTACGTTGTTTTTTTATGGCTTAGACAGCAGAAAAGAACAAGGACACCACGGATGAAAAGTGCTCACGTTCCTTAATGGTGTCGGACTTTTCATTTTACAGCCGTCACAACGGAGAAAAGGCGTTTTGTCTCGTGGAGACGAGCAGATATGAGCAAGCAGCAGAGAGTCAGAGTAAATCTAAAGTCTGGACTCCCTGACAGGTGTAACATAAAACACTGAGGGATCCAAGATGACTGGCACAGTGCTCTGCAGGGACACTGGACAAAGTCATTGGCTTCAGTCCGAAATGATCATGTAAGATTTGGGAATAGAAATTTATATTTCTTATCTATGCATTTAATTTTATCCCTGCTGTGAAGGTTGAAATTTGTCAGGGGAAGTGAAAGGGGGGTTATTCAATCTGTTTTTCATTTCCTGTTTATTCACACACAGATGTAGTAGGTGTTAGATTTCTAACATTGAGAGTCCGAGCTTTAAACCTGTGTTTTTTTTTTGTGGCTGGATTATTTATTTGCATAGAATTGCATTTCAGAGAAAAATTTTGTTAGGAATTGTTATTGTAATCTTGTGTGTGGATCAGATTTACATTTAGGTTTGGGCTGCCTGAAGTCTCTTTGTTTCCTCACATTAAAACCTGTTGCTCTGGAGAATGTAAATATGGCTTTGTTTAACAACTATCAGTCTTCCACATATGCGTAAGCAGCAAGAAGAAACGAAAAGCAGATCACAGCTCTCTGAGCTCCAGAGATAGAGGGTGGAACAGCATTCACGGAGTGTCTGTGACCTGATCCAAAGTCAAGAAAAGCCTGTTAGACTGGGAAAACTGATCGGTGGCCTTTTATAGATATCTGACTGCTCTTTTGAGGTCGATGGGTTCTCCCATGGGAAACGCACACAAAAGAACCATCTCCAGCTTTGTGAATTGAAGCAGTTCCTGTCACATCTGCAGAATGTTTTCACGGGAGCAAAATACCTCAAACACGGGGTCCCCGGTGAAGCGACTTAAGGCAGCAAACTCCAGGATGATGGTCCCCGCACAGGCCGTACAGGTGTCCGTTTCCGTGCCCGTCCGGGTCTCAGGACCCCTGACGCCATATTTCAGGTTGACCTTTCAGTCAGAGGAGAGAAGAAACAATTCAGATTTGACTTACAAAAACGACTGTATGTGTAAATCTGTGACAGCTGCGAGCAGTGATGCAGAAACAAGCCGCAGGAACTGAGACAGAAAGCGCAGATAACAGTTTTGCATGCTGGAAATGAGTTTTATTCCAAAATTTTTAGACATCAAACACAGATTGAATCGGACTGAATGAGGCTGTAGCTAATGACTTTGTGTTTCCTGACTCTTCTGACCTAAAAACTGTTACAACTTCTGAGGGAGAGGCTTTAATCGTCCAATCAGGACAACGGCTTTAGCTTTAGCTTTAGCCATTAGCATAGGGAGCTAAAACCATCTGGATGTGAACATGTGGAGGCTCTGGCCAGAGGAGGGGGCTCACCCGGGGATACGGCAGGCCGCTGCTGGTGTTGAAGGCCGGCAGCAGGCGGAGGCCGATGTCTTTGGCCATGTGGAGGAGCTCGTCCTGGTACCACTGCATGTGCTGCCCCCCCTCCTTCAGCATCACGGCCATCGAGTGGCCCCCCAAAAGCCCCCTGAGAGCATGCACACACCAGACAGCAGGATTAAGCACAACACAATCCACTGGCTTCTGTCTTTTGCTCACTTCTCTGTAAAAAGTCGTTGTATTTGAGCATTTTTTCTCTGAGTGGTAACTGGATGCTGAACGTGGGTCTAATCTCACCCAAGGACTCGAATGTTGGTTTCAAAGACCGACACCACGATGTCATTGTCCAGTCGCACGTCTGACAGGACTCTCCTCACTGCCGCCTCAAACTCTGTCGTCTTATTCAAAAGCTGGCAGGCAGAAAGAGCAGAACAGACTGTTATACTTTCCCTCTCTCCTCAAACAGGCCCTTCCCAGTACTTTTCTAACTGGTTCAAATATCACTATTTACGAATTAACTTGCTTATTCTATTACAGAGGATGTACACTTTACCAGAAAACTGAGAGCAAAGAAAAAAAAAAAAACTCACCACCAAAGTATCCAAAGTGTCTATGAGGGTCAGAGAGAACCTGGAAGAGACACAAACCGTTAACGACCGATTTCTGACCCCTGGTTCTCAGGTATGATGCTAACAGCAGAAATCAGAGTGACGTCTAAACTGGACCTTTGAGATTAGTTACCAAAGCGTTCTCCTAAATGAAAACGTTTAACTTGGGGATGTCGTGTGTGCCACTTACTTGCCAAGCGCATCGTCCACGTCTCCTCGGCTGGGCTCCAGCCCACGTACTCTTCCTCTGCACGTTAGAGGCATCAGCTCGTCCGCTGGGTACGCATGGTCCTGCACACACAAGCCCAGTCAGGACTTTACTCTTTCTAGTTTTGTCCATTTCATATAAAAGTGTCTCAATCTGTTTAAACACAGTTATAGTAAAACAACAGAAAAACTAAACTAAACAGACCAACTAAACCCGAAAAAATAAAAAGAAAGTTCATTAGCCTGTTAAAAAATGTAAAAATATACATATTTACAGTAATCAGCTATAACCATGAAACGCAAAAGCCCCTCATTAATAATGGCAACAGCTCAAATTCCTTGAAATCAATTCAGATTAGGACTGTAAATGTGAACCATGATCAAACTTTATAATTAGATGGAGAACTCACCATATAATTCTGATATGCATGGTCAAACATCTCAACAACTTGGTTCCTTTATTAAAAGCAAAGGAAGGACATATCAATATAAAAGTGTTTGCCATATATTTTCTGGGTTTAAAAAGCTTTTCTCGTGTTAGTCACTCACCTAAACTTGTGCTTCTCCTCCCGTGACATGGCCTGTCCGAGGCTGCACAATGCTCCAGAAAGCATCAGTACCAACAGGACAGGAGGCATCGTGGTGTTTTGGGAAGGATCGCGACTACAACTCAGCTTCCAGCAAATCTCTGCGCATAGATTAAGTCATAACCACGGCCCTGACCCAACGGCTCACACCGGCCATCGCTGACAAATATCTCTCTCCCTGAATCTATACCCCTGAGCTCATGTCCAAAAGCTTGAGCTTGTTGCTCAACCTGTGGTCCACAGAAACAAAAGCCACTCACAGAGGATGAGAAACCCCTCAGGTTTTAGCCCCAAAAAGTGGGATCCAGCAGTCTGATGCTCCCAGTACCAGGATGTCTCAGGTCTAACAGACACGGACCGGTTATTATCTGCTTAGTGACTCACTGTTTACCTATATCCCAGTGTTTGCCTTTCCAAGCTGTCACCAGACACCATGAGACACGTTGGCATGCAAAACACTAAAGTTGCATCTGCTGCTTTCAGGACAGCCCGTTGATCCAAATGAGCTAAATATGTAAAACAGCTTTGAATAGTTTAGATATCGTCTTCTCGGGTCAACCAGCAGGGAAACCCCTGTTTTCCTTAGACTTCTTAAGGCTTACGGCTCACTTTTAAGACTATTTTTTTTGCCTCGTTTTTCTCTGTAACGTTCAGCTTCACATAAAGAAGCAGGTAAAATAGTACATTAAAAAATACAGACTAAGAAAACCTTGGTCCGTAGCAGCTCCTCGGTCACTCTGGAGACCCTGTCAGACCCAAGTTAATTATTTCCTCCTTTTTGACAGCTCTCTCTCGTCAGCTAGTTAGCCAAGTAGCCGTGCAGTTGCAGGGTTTAATTAGCTAACTATGCTAACTAGCCGGGCTAGTCCCAACGGTCGGTCCTAGAACGCGAAACAAATCGAAAAAAAACGTCTCCATAGTTGAACGGCGGACGTGACCAGACTATCGTTCCCGTGCTTCATATCCTTAAAAAAGGAAAAGTTGCCATATGTTGCTGTTCACACCAACAGCTAAGTGTTTGACACACCGGAAACAAACTCGGCGAAAACGTCGACAACATCCGCTTCCTGATAGCGGAATATTTCTCCCTAAGTTTTGCCTGTCAGGCAACAGCTCACCCTCCCTTTGCCCTCCATTATTAAATAAAAACACATATGTAATAATCTATGATTTGAATTGAATGCAGATTCGTATCTGGATTTATCAAAAATAAATCCCAGACGGGATAAGGCACAACTGAAGATCCTAAGAGTCTAAACTCAGGGATTAATAACCCAAATATACAACACCGTCACGTGTGTTTTCTAAGTTACCTTTTTTCTGCTCTGTAAGTGTTTTTCACGCATCCGTTTTATTAAAACCTTGTCATTCACCAATGTAAAGACTCAACTTTAATGTCAGCCTCAGATTATACACATTTAATTTGCATTTGTACTGTTAGAAATATGATTATAAGACAAACAGGTCAGGATTAATCTTAAATTGTTTTCTCGGAAATTGCAAAAAGTCCTGACAGTCTCTTAAGGCAGTTTGTTGTTTTGTAAACTAAACAAAAGCAGAAGATTCTCCGTGGTATCTAACACACTATTGGTTTTAGAAAGCAATTTGTGTCATATTTAATCTAAACTCTTAACTATTTTGGCCATGTTCAGTTTTAACTACATTTCCCAGAAAACCTCGCGGTGTCCATCGTTTTCCGACAGTTTCACGTGACGGGCATGTCAACAAATCCATGTAAAACGCTGAGTGTGTTGTATAAATGGGGACCAAGTAAAAAAACGGTGCCATCATTTGACCAAAAGTGAAGCCGATCTTCTCATCTTAAAAAGGGAGAAAAATCCGAAAGGTATGCTGAGACGTTAGATTATTTTTCAGCGTCATGTAATCATAACATATCTGTATATTTTGGATAATTTTTTGTTGATTTCAGGTCATTATGACGACCATGGGCCCGGCTGCTGACGGGAAGCTGACGGGACTTGTTGCTGCCACTTTCACCCCCCTCACCCAACATGAGTAAGGACCGGTTTTTGTATTTATTTCCAGGACTTTGGCGCAAATTGACTGGATTGAGATCCCTAGTCCCTCTGTGAGGAGAAAATGTGCAGATCTTTGGCCACCATGTTCTCCTGCTTAAATTTTTCTAACATTTTTCCCTAAACAGTGAAATCAACCTATCAGTGATCGGACCTTATGTCGACTACCTGGCAGAGAAGCAAGGCATAAAGAACATATTTGGTAAGATTTCTAGTGGAATATCTCCCTAATCAAGACTAATGCTGAGGTTTACTTTAAAACCTTATAGAAATAAATGCTCATCATTTCCCAAATTAAAGAAACTGTTTATAATTAATCTAATAATCGGAATAATCTGGAATAGCACTTAGATATCTTAACAACTTTACTGAATGTCTTATCTTTACTGAAATAAAATAAAGGAATTGTTCACATATATGTGATACAGGTTCTCCTTTTTTCTCCGTTTATGACTGATAGTGTTCATTTAGGAAATATAAATGAATAATTCTAAATAATTGTCTCATAATAAATGTGGGACAATATTCAATTTAGTCTTCCATCTAAATAATTAAGCATTTCGATTTTATGTAATGAAGTGAATTGGAAAGGTATCTAAATTGGGGAGGTAATGATAAAAGAAGTAAAATAGAAAATGGTGACGAGCAGAATTCCTAATAAAGGATTGCACCAGAGCTAAGACGAGTTTCAAATTACACAATTTTGTGTGTCAGCTACACAGAATAATGTTGCGTAAAAGCCAATTACTACTAAAGACTAAAGATAAACAGTCTTTGCTTTCCTTTTGTTCCAGTTTTTCTGGGTTCTCAGGTTTGGGGAGGGCTGTGTGTTTAAGGCTGAAATATGCTCTTTGCCCTTTCAGACAAACATACAAGACTTCTGTTTTTCACCGAATGAAGAACAATATTGAATGTGTCTCTTTTATCAAGGACCCACAGAAAGAAATCTTCTTTTTATCTTTTAACCCTTTAAAGCCTGATCCAAGAAAAATAGGAAGAATGTTGGATTTTTTTAGTCTGAAGTCTTTCTTTGGCCCCTCAACCACATATGAAGAAAAAAAAACAGAAATTATTTTGATCAAATTAGCGTGCAATAAGTCAGAAATGTATGTTGGTGTAGTCTTCTACTGGCTGTTATCAGGTATATCTGAATGTGTACAACAGGGGTTTGAGCAAAGCTTTTACCACTGAATGATGCAGAAAGTCTCAGATCCAAAAGATCTCAGAAACCGTATCAGATATGACACATTTGGCATTATCGGGTTAAGATCCTTTCTTGTGTGAACACAGTGTGTAAACATGACTGAACTCTGCCTGCTCACAGTGAACGGCACCACAGGGGAGAGCATGTCCCTCACCCTCTCCGAGAGGAAGGACCTGGCCGAGGAGTGGTGTAAGAGAGCCAAGGGGAAGTGAGTCTATCTTTGTTTTTATGCTGAGTGTGATACAAATGTTGTGTAGGGTTGTCAAAAGTATGGATACTCAAAAAAGTGTAGATACTAAAACGTTTTATCCGGATACAATACTCGATTATTTATTTATTTATTTACGTTGTTTATGGTCATTAACGTGACGTTAGCCTTGAATTGCTAGCTGCGGCTAATGGCTAATAATAACACGCCAACATTAATCAAGTCTGCAGGAAGCCAAGGATGGATATCCAACTCTCCCACATCCAAGTCGGCCATTTTGATTAGGTCACCAATAGGAAGATCCCAGCAAAGAAAATGGGAATTGCTTCATGGAAATATAGACATTAATTCAGAAATAGTGAAATGAATCTTGCAAACGCTGAGTTAAACTCTATCCATAATATTATGTTAAAATAGTGGATGTTAAATAGGTTTGTACAATAAGTCCAAACAAGTTTAACCAAAAAATATTTATTTCTCACAATTATGAAGGGTGGAGGGTCAGGGTCAGGGTTAGGGTTAAGGTCAGGGTTAGGGTTAGGGTTAGGGTTAGGGTCATTAATGTGGGCCACCATAACATCAGTAACAGGTCAGTTTGAAACCAAAGACACTAACCTGTCAAAATTCAGTTAAATTTTGGGGTCTTTGATTTTATACTTGTGCTATCGAAAATGTCAGCATCGAATATTTTCCTGAGTTGAACATTTTAGTATCTTTACAACCCTGATGTGGGGAAAATGCTCTCTAATCCACGTGTCTGTGCAGGATGGATCAGGTGATTGTCCACGTGGGCTGTTTGAGTCTCAAAGATTCCCAAGAGCTGGTGAGTTGTTGCCTGTGGGTAGACACAGGTGATAATTATCAGGCCATCATCCAAACCCAGCCACACCC